CTACGCGGGAGTGTTGCCCATGGAACGCACGTTTGATTGGAGCTACTGGCAAGCACTAGGCAGCTCTGCTCAAGGGCTTCCTACCTTGAGTTGTGCTGAGCGAGTGTCCAAGGATTCTTCAGTGTAGACAAGTAGATTTGAAGAAGGCATTTCGTCAGGGGTCTTGAGTCTCCTTCTGTGCGTGACTTAAGCATCATTTCTCAGTCTCATGTGTTTGATTTTCCTCTGGTTGGTGTGATGTTTGCAAGAAACCCTTCTCGAGATGCGAGCCAAGGCCAAAAGCCTAAATCCTAAAGCCAAACCCAAAAGCCTAAAACCTACAGTAACCTAAAACCTAAAGTGATGCAAGCCAAACCCAAGAGCCTAAACCCTAAGCCCAAATCCAGAACCCTGACACCTAGAGTGATGTGAGCCAAACCCAAAAGCCTAAATCCTAAAGCCAAACCCAAAAGCCTAAAACCTACAGTAACCTAAAACCTAAAGTGATGCAAGCCAAACCCAAGAGCCTAAACCCTAAGCCCAAATCCAGAACCCTAAAACCTACAGTGATACGAGCCAAGACCAAAAGCCTAAATCCTAAAGCCAAACCCAAAAGCCTAAAACCTACAGTAACCTAAAACCTAGAGTGATGTGAGCCAAACCCAAGAGCCTAAACCCTAAGCCCAAATCCAGAACCCTAAGACCTATAGTGATACGAGCCAAGGCCAAAAGCCTAAATCCTAAAGCCAAACCCAAAAGCCTAAAACCTACAGTAACCTAAAACCTAAAGTGATGCAAGCCAAACCCAAGAGCCTAAACCCTAAGCCCAAATCCACAACCCTAAAGCCTACAGTAACCTAAAACCTAAAGTGATGCGAGCCAAGCCCAAAAGTAAATCCTAAAACCAAACCCAAAAGCCTAAACCCTACAGTAACCTAAAACCTAAAGTGATGCGAGCCAAGCCCAAAAGCCTAAATCCTAAAGCCAAACCCAAAAGCCTAAACCCAAAACCCAAAACCTAGAGTGATGTGAGCCAAACCCAAAAGCCTAAACCTTAAAACCAAACCCAGAACCCTAAAACGTACGGTAACCTAAAACCTAAAGTGATGCAAGCCAAACCCAAGAGCCTAAACCCTAAACCCAAATCCACAACCCTAAAGCCTACAGTAACCTAAAACCTAAAGTGATGCGAGCCAAGCCCAAGAGCCTAAATCCTAAAACCAAACCCAAAAGCCTAAACCCTACAGTAACCTAAAACCTAAAGTGATGCGAGCCAAGCCCAAAAGCCTAAATCCTAAAGCCAAACCCAAAAGCCTAAACCCAAAACCCAAAACCTAGAGTGATGTGAGCCAAACCCAAAAGCCTAAACCTTAAACCCAAACCCAGAACCCTAAAACGTACGGTAACCTAAAACCTAAAGTGATGCAAGCCAAACCCAAGAGCCTAAACCCTAAACCCAAATCCACAACCCTAAAGCCTACAGTAACCTAAAACCTAAAGTGATGCGAGCCAAGCCCAAAAGCCTAAACCCTAAACCCAAATCCACAACCCTAAAGCCTACAGTAACCTAAAACCTAAAGTGATGCGAGCCAAGCCCAAGAGCCTAAATCCTAAAACCAAACCCAAAAGCCTAAACCCTACAGTAACCTAAAACCTAAAGTGATGCGAGCCAAGCCCAAAAGCCTAAATCCTAAAGCCAAACCCAAAAGCCTAAACCCAAAACCAAAAACCTAGAGTGATGTGAGCCAAACCCAAAAGCCTAAACCTTAAACCCAACCCAGAACCCTGAAACGTACAGTAACCTAAAACCTAAAGTCATGCAAGCCAAACCCAAGAGCCTAAACCCTAAGCCCAAATCCACAACCCTAAAGCCTACAGTAACCTAAAACCTAAAGTGATGCGAGCCAAGCCCAAAAGCCTAAATCCTAAAGCCAAACCCAAAAGCCTAAACCCTACAGTAACCTAAAACCTAAAGTGATGCGAGCCAAGCCCAAAAGGCTAAATCCTAAAGCCAAACCCAAAAGCCTAAACCCCAAACCCAAAAACCTAAAGTGATGTAAGCCAACCCCAAACCCAAACCCCAACCCCCAAACCCTCTGCTGTGGTGGGCACTTCCGGGATTGAATGCGCGAATGACTCCAAGAGTGCGTGCGCAGATGACCCTGCGGGATTGAATGCGCGAATGACTCCAAGATTGAATGCGCGGATGACCCCACCACCCTATTTTCCAACCAAACCAACCAAAAAGGGACGCCTATGGACCTTGGGCAAATGAGGCTGTTATGATGCATTTTGGGCATTCCATTGACGCTGATCTTCATGCCCTGCTCTTGCTCTGCTTCTGAAAGCCTGGTGTCAAGGGCCAAGCCTGATGATCTCATATTGCAGACAAGAAGCTAGCTCGATCTGGGGTCATTGTGTTGACTGTTTCTGGGGGTAATTATCAAAGTCAGAAAACGGAATCATGGCAAAAATAAATGAGGCTAGTCGATGTGCCAAACTTTTCACAAGCAAAAGCGTTTGGGCCTCTCCAGCTCCTGTGTCTTCTCCTGAATGGCCGCCTGCGAGCAAACCGCAAGTTATGAGTCTCGAGCCACTCTTAGCAGTGCCAATACAAAACATAGCACCTACCAATGCCGGCAGTGGGCATGGCATGGCCTAAACCACATGGTCTAAAGGCAGGTCATTCTGCGCCATTAGAGGTGACAAAACATGACCACCTCTTTCAAAAGTAATAGTACACTGCCTCTCTGAGCGGCAAACAGTCCATTTGGGTGTGTGTCACATTTTTCGGGGACCCACCCCAAATGGTGGCGTTCCTTGTGGTTTCCCTTTAAAACCACCCAAAAAGGGGGTACCAAATCGAAACAAGACACCAGAAAAGGGCACCAACTCAAAAACAGATAGAGCCATTTGGGTGTGGCTCAAAATTAAGGAGCTAGGGCAAACCATTTACCAAAGGGCCATTTTGGTACATTTATTTGAGCCACAGCCCTTCAAAGTAACCTCTAGGGGTTGATTCCCCATTCTTTTCAACCATGGTTCTTTTCAAAAAACAGCCGTTTTCCCTGGGTTTCCGGAGGTTTTCAAGAAAGAAGGATCTCTGGGGGAAGAATGGAAATGGAAGCTACCCCTGGAAAACCGCAGGCCGTCGCATGTTTCTTTTGAGTCCGAGTCGCCTGCATGCTCAGCTGCTTGCGCTTTCTCGCCTCGGCCTCCATTTCGGCGCCTCGGAACCGCTGGGCTGGGAGGGGGGTTGAGGGGTGTTGGAGGCTGCCCCTTTTCTTCTTGCGGTCGGTGCGAGAGATGCAGGCAATGAGAAATGGAATGACTCCAAGAAAAACCATCCAACCGGTGGTTTCTCCCTGTGGTTTCTCCCCTTTTTGGGGGTTGGCAAAACTTGCGGGTGCACCCAGGGTTTGGGAATGAACTCCCGCCCTTGCAGGACTCCTGTAGGGGGACTCCTGGACCAAGGTTTGGGAATGAACCTTTTGGGGACTCCTGTAAAGGAAACCGGGGATGGCGTGTAGGGGTCATTCTCTCATTCCCATGTTTTGTTTTTCTTGCGTGCAGGGAATGAGAAGTGGTTTCTGACCCCAAGAAAAACCATCCAACTGGTGGTTTCCTTTAAGGGGACTCCTGGGTTCATTCCCTCATTCCCTATCGCACCAGCAAGTTTTGGGGGTTGGCTTGAGAGAAAAAGCTTGCTGGTGCTCAGGGAATGACCAAGGTTTGGGAATGAGCCCAAATATTATTTTTGGCGAGTTAGCGAGCGGAGGAAAGAGGAAATGGGCCTCACTCCTCCAATGAATACAAATATAATGGTGGAGTGGAGGAGTGGATATGATGTCAAGGATTTTGCAGTTAAACAAAAAAGATAGAGATGTAGGAGAGTGAAAGGATTCTATCACTTCATCCTTTCTTCATCCTACCATATTGTTTCTCGCGGACCCCCTACCTACCACTATGTTTGCCCCTTCTTTGACACGACATACCCACATGGCAACAGCCAGAAGCAATTATGCTCAACCTGTGTAGCTTACATCTAAGTCAACCGTCCCACTTGTAAGCTCGATGACCCACTCGAGTAGGTTTAACATCCAAGTGTGCGCCGAGAAAAAAGACAAAAACTTTGAGTCATCCAAGATGGCAGAAGCCTTCCAAGAAACCAACCCACTGGGCCCATTCCGGGTCAAACGGCCATGGGTCAAAATCCAAATCGTACCCCCAGTGAACATCCCAATCCAACCACTAAAATCGGTTCTAAAGTGGGTGGTGAATTCACCTACAGTACCAACCAAAATGGGATCCAAACTAGATTCTAAAATGGGTGGTGCATTCACCTACCAACCAAAATGGGATCCCAAAACGGTTTTGAGCCATGGCCAAACCTCTTCAGCCCACTCGGATCGCCGCAGGCTTTTCTTTTTCTTTTTCCGCCTGCGGGTCACGGGTCCTGAGGTCCCCGAGCCGACCTTTGCAGCTCATCTGATGAGCTGAGACGGGAAAGAGGGGTACCCTGCTTTCGGTTGACTAGGTCCTCCAGTGGTTTGAGCTTAGAATAGGTTGGTACCAACTTGTTTTTCGGTAGTCGATTTTCGTAGGGGAACCCTTCCCCAAAAAAGGGTAAAAGGGCACTACTGGGGGACCTAGTTGACGTTCAAGGCAAGAGGTTTACAGGGGCCGAAGTTGCCTAGACTCTGAGTGGTGTTTCTTTGCTACTAAAAAAGCACCACTGGGTGTCTGGGCTACTTTGGCCGCATGTAAGAATTCAAACAAATGTAGATCTAATTGATCCCGCACAGCACAGCAGCGGTGACCATTTGGACGCGGACGCCATCTAAATGTAAAACTACAAGCCTGGGCTATGGCAACTGGCAGCACTAGGGTAAACCAATTGCTCACCTGCAGATAAAGACGGAACCCAAAAACGAAAGACGTGTGTTTTTACCCGAGCCTCCCTTTTTGGGAATCCTGACCTCTACGTCCCACGAAGTTAGCGCCGCGGCTGGGCTTTCGGATCACTCCAGCGCGCGGATGCAGGTGGTGGGGGCCACATATTCTACGTAGAGCCCGGCCAGCAGCCACAGGAGCAGCAGGAAGCCCATGAAGACGTCCGGCTCAAAGGGCCACTGACCTCTGCGGACTCTCAACAAACGTGTGTTCCCCTATGTTCCCCTTGAAAATGACACCAAAAGTGCTTGGTTCAAAGCAACTCCTGGGTTTGCGTCTGGCGTCCCATATTTTCCAGCCCTTTTCCAGCGTCATATTTGTTCCACCTTCTAGGAGCGTGACCCAGGAGCTGGCGAAGGACAGCTTGCAAAGGCCACTGGAACAGGTACACCTCGAAGCCTCGGAGGTGTCTCTTTGCGTCAGTGTGTCTCTGTGCGTCCTCCAGTAGAGCGGTTTTTTGGATTAAGGTGGTAACAACCTTTTTTTTTCTTCGTAGTCTATTAAAGATTATATTCCCAACACAAAAGGTAAAAGGGCACTACTGGGGGAAACCTGGGTGTATGTGTGTGTGTGTGTCTTTTTGAGGGAACCCAGAGTCCTTCAATAACTTGGATTTGGGCTCGGGTACGATAAGTGTCGCGGTTTTAGCTATTCGGCAAATCAAGCCCCTTACACTAGCCTCCTCGCAGCCTCGCCCTCCACAAACAAAACGGGGTCGCAACCACCCAAAGAAAAAAACAAAGAACAAAACAAAACACAAAAAACAAACACACACACACACAAACAAAAAAGCAACCCTTTTCAAACCTTCCCTCCCTCCTTCCCCCCGGTGTCCGAACGAACCTCTGGGGCCCCCCGCTGTACTTGCCGAGCGCCACGAGCGCGGGATGGCTCAGCAAATGCGCCACGCAGCTGCCTTGACGTTGGAAGGGGAGCAAACATTTAAATCTTAGCAGTTAAGTGGATTTGGATTTCAACCACTAAACCCAAAAAAAATGGTAAAATGTTTCCCAACAACAACCATGCTGCCGTGCTGGGAGCCGTAGATGAAGACGGCGATGGCCAAAGAGCAGCCGTGGCTGAGCAAGGCGTTGTGGTCCTCCTGGCACTCCGCGTGAGTGCCTGGCAGGGAACTTTTTCTAGCCCGGGAACTCAGTGAAAGCCTAGCGATTTGTGTGGGGTCAAACACTTTTTGCCGGAAATTCAGTGGAAGCCTGGCGATTTGTGTGGGGTCAGGGATTTTTTTAGCCCGGGAACTCAGTGGAAGCCTGGCGATTTGTGTGGGGTCAGGGATTTTTTTAGCCCGGGAACTCAGTGGAAGCCTGGCGATTTGTGTGGGGGTCAGGGATTTTTAGCCCGGGAACTCAGTGGAAGCCTGGCGATTTGTGTGGGGGTCAGGGAATTTTAGCCCGGGAACTCAGTGAAAGCCTGGCGATTTGTATAGGGGTCAGGGATTTTTAGCCTGGCAGTGGAAGCCTAGCGATTTGTGGGGGTCAGGGATTTTTAGCCCGGGAACTCAGTGGAAGCCTGGCGATTTGTGTGGGGTCAGGGATTTTTTTAACCCGGGAACTCAGTGGAAGCCTGGCGATTTGTGTGGGGGTCAGGGATTTTTAGCCCGGGAACTCAGTGGAAGCCTGGCGATGTGTGTGGGGTCAGGGATTTTTTTTAACCCAGAAACTCAGTGGAAGCCTGTCGTTTTTTGGTCTGTGGGGGTCGGCCCAGTTTGGTGGGACCCCAAAACACTTTTGTGGGGAAGTCGGGATTCATCCACAAGCGTTTGTTCAAGCACGACCCTGCGCTCCTAGGCTCCCATAAGCCCCAAAAATGAGACCCGTCGATCAAGCGGGTTGCTTGGGTGTCACGATTTGTCCCTTTGCACCAAGCCCCAAAAGAAGCTCAACGTCCGGGTGTTTCCCCCAAATGACTACACTGTCGGTGCTCCACACAATCGATCTGATCCCCTCCCCAGCCGAGTCGAGGTCTAGGTCCTCCAGTAGAGAGGTTGGGGTTTAGGGTACCCATTTTTTCTGTAGTCTATTTTAGGGGAACCCTCCCAACCAAAGAAGTTGGTGAGAAAGGGCACCAGCTGGGGGACCCAGGAGTTGAATCATCCAAACTTTTTCAGAAGCAATGTCCAGAATTTCGGGAAACCTCTGGGTGTGTCTTTCGTCGAGGGGCCTTTTTTGTCTGGTGCTCAAGGGAAATGAAAGGGAAACAGGGTTGTGGGGAATGACCACTTCGGTGATACAACAGAAAGGGCTTCCCAAAGACTAGTTTGTTCATACAAAAGGAGATTCCCTTGTATCACAGAAGTGGGGAGACACCCTTGATCTCACAACCCCGAAGGGAAACCACCCATTTGGGGGTTTCACATATGAGACGCACCCCATCTATCCGTGCCTGGCACAGGCAGCAGCATCACCGCCGCTGCAGAGGCCGCAAATGCCAGGTCTGCTATCAAGGCCTTCCAGAGTCGGAAGTCGTGCTCTCCTCCGCAAGCCCATCTGGTTTCTAGTTGAGCTTTAGATCAAGGCTTTCAACCGATCTTGTTCATTTGTCTTGGGCCCTTTTCTCCTGAATATCAGCCTTCGGAAGCCAAGTAGTAGCTTCCAACTTGAACTTGTCGCAAAAACACCCCCAAAACATGCACGGCTAGATTCGTTGTAACTTCCCTTGAAACCCACTCCAACCGGGGTATCCTCTTTAGAAAAAAAGGAAGAAAAAAAAAGGGGAAAACAACGGCACCTTGTCTAGGTCCTCCAGTAGAGAGGTTAGAATAAGGGTACCAACTTTTTTCCTGTAGTCTATTTTAGTAGGGGGGTTCCCTCCCAATGAAAAAAATATAAGAAACAATGAGAGCTTGGGCAACTAGCTGGGGGACCTAGCCTCTTTATATACATATATATATATATATATATTAAACAACAAAAACAACTCCCCCACCTTATGGCCTGTGCCGGCGGCCTTCGGCCCCAAGTGGCCCCGACGATTCCCGACGATTTCGAGGATTCCGATGAGTCCGCCGTCCTTTGCCCAGCTCCGCCGCCAGCACCCCAAGGCCGAAGTCCGCAACCTGCGCCGGGGGCCACATGAAGGAGGTGCTGAACTGGGCCCAGCTGACGGTTCCGCCCTGCGCCCAGTACCTCAGCCGCGATATGGTCCGCCGGTCGGGACCTAGAAAAAAAGTGTTTTCTGGCGGAGGGGGGAAACGGAATGCTTGTGTAAGCACCTTAACCCCGACCAGTGCCAACACAAATCCAGGAAGTTAAAGGCATCGCCAAACAGACCTCAACTAGGTCCTCCAGCAGAGAGGTTAGCATAAGGCTACCCTTTTTGCTGTAGTCTATTTTAGCAGGGGGAACCCCCCAAAACAAGTTGGGTAAAAGGGCACAACTGGGGGACCTAGTTTCGGACCTTTTGCAGCCCGAAAGAAAAGCTTGGTTTCAGCTTCAATGACTCGTCTTTCTGGACCATTTTGACAGGTTCCAAGGTTGCACACCGTGGGTCGAAAAGTGGAGAACCGACCCCGGGGACAAAGACACACCGATCCGAGGCCCCCTTCAAGACAGCGATTGGTGGGGACATCCAAAACCCAAGAAACTTGCCAGCTCCCCCCGACCCCCCTCTCAGAGTTCCTTCATCCCTGTGTCACTTGGGAACTCAACGAGCCCATGCTACCCTGAGGCACACGAGTTGATCTTCAGAAATGTCCCTAGGTCCTCCAGTTTTGAGAGGTTCGAAGAAGGGTACCATTTTTTCTGTAGTCTATTTTAGTAGGGGAACCCTCCCCCAAGAAAGAATCGGTAAAAGGGCAGTACTGGGGGACCCAGAGCCGGTTTGAACGTCGCTGAAACCCACAACCCGCATGACACCCACTGAGTTGGCGGGAAGGTGGCGCTGCGAGGGTGGGGATGTGAGCCGCCCCATGAGAAAAGCAGACACCTTTTCAGGCGGAGCCGCAGACACAGCATGGGCCCAAAGGAGGCCAAGTAGAGCCTCCAGAGGTTTCACCGGCGCAGGTCTCGGGTGCTAGTTTACCACCCAAGCACTGCTTTTTTAGCCACCAAGCGGATGTTGGACATGAAGAAAACAGCCGACAAGTGGGGGGATGCTGGAACTGGTGTCCATTTTTTTCGGGGATAGGTTCATTCCAAAACCCCAAGGCCACTCACAGCTCGATTGTATACTCGATGCTTGGTGGAAGGATCGCCATCCTCCGCAAACACAATGCCTGCAGTCAGAAACGTATTTCTTAGAGCAATCTGCTTGCGGGGAACCCGTGTTTGGGTGCAACGTAGGATGAGTAGAACTCCTTTGGCCAATCCACTCAGGAAGCGAGTTTCAGAAAGCGACTATTGGGAACCCTGTTGATGAATACCTCAGACCAGCGGCGCATTTCCTTGCAACTATTTTGGAGGGACGCCCCCTGTTGAAATCAACCCTCCCATGGAACCCGAGGTTTGGGGGTCCCTTGAAAAGGAAACTGGTCCAAACCAGGACCTCAGGTTCCATGAGGCCTCTGAAGGCCAGATATAGGCAGATTGATTGATCGACAGGTCAACGACTCCCTTAATTCATCTCACAGGCGTCTCCATGACCCTTTAAAAATGCGTCCATGACCCCATTATTTTGGGTAATGACCTCATTTTCTAAGGGTCATGGAGACTCCAGGCAACAGGTTGATTACTCCGACGTCAAAATGTTGCAACTGCTTGCTTGCTGGCGAGACCCCGCTGCAACAAGTGTTGAACGCTTTTTGTGGGTCCAGTTCGGGAAATCCGACCTGTTTCAACCAAAGAGTTAAAGTTCAAAGATCTAACCAAATAGCAAAAACTATGTCCTCCAGTACAGAGGTCAGAATAAGGGTACCATTTTTTTCTGTAGTCTATTTTAGTAGGGGAAGCCTCCCCCTAAAAAAGTTGGTAACAGGGCACCTAGCTGGGGGACCTAGATAAGGTCAATTGATTTGAGTTTTCCCCTGATTCGGTTGGTTTCGAGCCCCTCGCAAATGCCAAATGGACTATAGGCCATCCATTTGATTTGGGGTTGCTCCTGATTTGGCTTGTTTCCCCTGAGTCCCTTTTCATGGGGGCGAGGGGGGGGGGAAGCGAGCCCCAAATAAGGCCTTACTAGGGCTCCCTCCCCCCCCCAGCCCCCATGACCTCCCAACTGCCATGAACAACAGGCCACCAGCCATTGCGTTCCTTGCTTTTGCATCAAAGTCTTTGTTAGACCGACCTCCGCATTCGGCGTCTGATTGGGAAGGTGCACCGGAGGTCGGGTGTGCTCCCTGAAGAAGTGCCTGTTTTCAATGGATTTGTCTCTTTTCTTAAAGGTTGGACCCCCAAAATAGTGTTCCTTTTGGTTTCCCTTGAAAATAAACCAAAAACGGCGTCCAAAAAGACCGACCGAAAAGGAACCAAGGGTACCCTCACCAGCTGAAGAGGCTTTGGACTGCTTTCCTTTTGGGCCTCGCCCCCCCCAAAAAAAAAACTCTGCTTCTTTGCGTTCAGGCCATGAAATATCACCAAAGGACACAATTCGCTGTACTGTGATGTGATATTTGTCACTACACAGTTGGATGTTGCATCTCGGGTCCACCGAACCAAAGCAGCCTCCTCAGCCAAGCAGCAAGACCATGAAGCAGGCTGTCAAGCGCCTCGCCTGGATCTTCTCCGCCAGCTGCGCCAGGAAGGGGTAAAGCAGCCAGCAGGGGATCAGCGCCTCAGCGATACGGGTTCGTCTCAACCGCCCGAAATGGAAGATTCTTGACCCAAAGGGGCCCCTCTTCGGGTCCTAGAAATTTAAAGGCGATCACCTTTTGGGACCTAGCTTGGTTGACCCACTTAGCTTGGTGAACCGCTTAACTTGGTTGACGTTGGAAGGGGAGCAACAATGTAAACTTTAGCGGTTAAGTGGGGATTTCAACCACTAAGCCACAATAAGCAAAAATGTAAAAATGTAAAAAATGTAAAAATGTAAATATTTTACATGTTTCCCAACAACAACCATGTTAAGGCCCCTTAGGGACCTAGAAACAAAAGGTGATCACCTTTTGGGACCTTTACCAAAAGTGGACCAAACTGCGAAAACCAAAAGGTCGTGTTTGAGTCCATTTACAGAGGCCAATTCAAAAGCTTCCTTCTGGTAGTCTGAGGAAGTGTAGTCGCTTGGGCTTTCGCTCTTTACCTTCTTCCCACTGCTTCCACTTGTTCTTGTCAACTTTGTTCGCATGTTTGACGTGTTGCACTTTTCCCACTTTCTCAGCAAGGTTCCACTTGTCCACCCTATCAGCGTTCCCATTCTCTCCACTTTTCCGACTCTTTTCACTTTCTCCACCTTTCCAACTTCTTCCCACATGCTTCACCATAGGTGTCCTTTTTGGAAAATAGATGGGTATCCCTGGTAGATGATTGAACCACCAGGTAAACCAGGAATCGCCCAACCTATTTTCCAACCAAACCAACCAAAAAGGACGCCTATGGCCTCACCCTAAACCACCTGTCCCACTTTCTCCACATCGATCCGGTTCCCTGTCGCAAGGCTCTCTTCCCATGTTTCCATGAAACGAGATGCGTGCAAAGGATCAAACGGGTCTCATGTCACTTGGTTGACGTTGGAAGGGGAGGCAAAATTTAAATGTTAGCAGTTCAGTGGGGATTTCCCACTAAACCGCAACACGCAAAAATGTAACATGTTTCCCAACGACAACCATGGTCACCCTTCTCGAATCAATGGATGCCAAGAATGGAACCCCTGCCCCCTGTCCTTTGCCTCCCTCCCGCGTCCAGAGTTAGCCTAAACAAAAGAAAAGGAACCGGTTACATGGAATTATCCACCACAAAAACTGCAAAACATGGTTCCCACGCTGGACAAGTTGTATACCCATGGTCATTTGCGGGCCGAAGGGACCTTTTGATCAACCCCCGTATCTCTGGCGGATTATGCTTCAAAACTTGTGAAACCCTTTGGACACAGGCAAGCAACCACCACAGCCCAAGGACCATATGGGTAACTGTCCCATTTGGTGGTCGAAATACCATCTTTTTGGTGGTTTCCCCAAACGGTCATCCTAAGTATATCGGACCTTTTAACTTTTCAACCTCCATTTGTGGTTCAAGTCCATACTGATGGACGAAATCCTCTCAGGCACAACCTGAGAAACCCTGGAATGATGATTGCCCTGTACATACCAACAAACAATGGTTTCCAAATGGTTTTCAAATGGACCAGAACTCAGGTGGTTTTCCCCCACCAACGTTCTGGTTTCAATTCAACCATGGCTTCCTCTCGTGCGAAATCCACAGGACTGGGCTCTCCTCAGATCAAAACCTCCAACTAGTGGGTAAAAACAAAAAACGACCACTAAGCCAAGCAAAAAGATCTAAAAGCCTAAGTTGAGCCCAAAAAGATCTGAAAGTGCCTTAGTTGAACCCAAAGGCTGAAAAGCACCAACCCATTCCCTGGAGTTCAGCTGAGAAACCTTCCCACCCTTCCACCTGCCCACCTGCCCCACCTAGGTCCTCCAGTACTCCAGTAGAGAGGTTAGAATAAGGGTACCATATTTTTTTCCGTAGTCTATTTTAGTAGGGGGTTTCCCTCCCAACCACAAAAAAGAAACGGTCAAAGGGCACCAATCGCTGGGGCACCCAGTCGTGCCCACCTTCCCCCGCGCCCCGCCCCAAAGGGCGCCTCAACGGTCCAGCTGGGCGGGGCCGGGCACCAGGCCCCGGGCCGCGCCCAGTGCCGCAGGAACCCCAGGCACGCGGCGAGCTCCAAGCCGCCGGGCGAAAAGCGGCGGTACTCCGGCACCACCAAGACCTCACGAGGAACACCCGCTGGACCTACGGAGGTAAGGGACCTAGCTTGGTTGACGTTGGGTTTGGGGAGGAAAAAACAAAATAGCAGTTGAGTGGATTTGGATTTCAACCACTAAACCACAATAAGCAAAAGTGATTCAAATGTTTTCCAACAACAACCATGCTAGGAAGTGGGTAGTCACCTGCTTCTATAAAATAACAGGTGTAAGTGCCAGGTTCCATTGCTTGGTTCTCCCCTGGAATTGCACCCGCAGGATCTAGTGGGGCGGATTTGTTTTGGTCACCGAGGCCCAGGGTCTTTCTTTCTGAAGGTTGGACCCCCGCCAAAAAGAAAGATGAGTGGGTGACCTGGGTGACCTGGGTCAGATTGGTTGTTTGGCGCTTTTTTTAAGGTTGGACCCCACAAATAAAAGTGTGCTTTTGGGTTTAAAGGGGTGAACAGGACTGCTGGGTGGGTCGGACTTTTTTAGGGGGCCCCCACCGAAATTCCGTGGGTTGTCCTGGTGTCCCCTTACAAAACGTCTGCAGTGTGTCTGCGGTTGAACTTTCGGGTTAGAGGTTCTGAAGTATAAAGGTCAAACCAAAGACCAAGCAAAGGATCGGGCTCCTTCTGAAAAAGGTTGGACCCCAACCTGAAACAAAACAATCGCGAACCTTTCCTTTTGGTTTCCCTTAAAACCACCCAAAAGGGGGTGTCGACTAGAAAACAGGACACTCCCACACGACTCAACAAGGGGCCCCTTTACTAGGGACCGAAAACATCCGCTCCGATCAGATCTTAGGCGCTGTGTCAACATGCCAAGATGGGGTTCAAAATGACCCCTGACCCTACCTATAAACATGGTTTGGTGCACCGGAACCCGTCCGTTTGTAAAAAGGAACATATTTTTGTTGGGGCTGGGGGGGAGGAAGGGGAGGGGGGGGGAGGGGGGGGGAGGGGAGGGGAGGGGGAGGGAGGGGGGGAGGGGGAGGGAGGGGAGGGGAGGGGAGGGGAGGGGAGGGGAGGGGAGGGGGAGGGGAGGGGAGGGAGGGGAGGGGAGGGGAGGGGAGGGGAGGGGAGGGGGAGCCCAAATAAGCCCTTATTAAGCCCTTCATAAGCCCTTATGTAGGGCTTATTTGGGCTCCCTCCCACTTCCATCTTTCTTGGCTCAGGCTTTACTTCCTCACGCTCGCCAAAAACCGTCTGCCCCTAGCTAAGGGGCCACCACGATGCTGGTCAGCATGGCCACCCAGGTGGTGACCACGATCTGCCCCATGCGCCGCAGGTAGAAACGCCTGGCGGCCAAACCGCCAACCATGAGATGGGATGGTTGTCAAAATTAAGCCACCAGGGATTGGACCGCAGGTCTTAGTCTTTGGTTCCATTTACCAGGGTTCCATTTTGGGGTTACCCTATTTTTGACCCACAGCCAGATTGGTGTGGTTGTCAAACATAGGGTACCCTCTCTCCTAGTAACGTGGCACCGCACAAGGGGGGTCCGCGGTCCCTCCAACAGGTTATTAGATCTTCCAGGTGCCTCCCCACAGGTGCCATGTTAGTGGGAGTAAGGGTAAGCCCAAAAACGGCTTGCCCTGGTAAATGGGGAAAGTTGCGGACCAAAACCTGCGGTCCAATTCCTGGAACTTTCCTGACCCTTGAGGTATGTAACCACCGTTCTTTGAAAGCACGTGTCTTCGGAAACAACAAAAACAAAGTTCAACATGCCAAATGAAATGCCAACACAACCAGGAACAAAACCGTCTGACCTGCAATTTTACCTTAGTGCAGTTGGAACTTTGTGTTGGAGGTTGTAAAGTTTCAAGGTCAAAGACCAATCAAGAAAGGATAGGGCTCTGTCTTTTCTTGAGGTTGGACCCCTAAAATTGCTTCCGAAAGTTCCTTCTCCTTTTTGGTTTCCCTTAAAGCCACCAAACAAGGGGTACCGACTGAATCAGCAAACCCATAAGCTAACAAAACCTTCAAATGCTTCGATCCGCTTTCCGAGCTCCCCAACCTCCTGGCTGAAGCTGCAAAAAACGAAATGGGGCTGCCCAATACGACAACCCTTGGAGGGTGTTGAAGGAAAGCAAAAGGACGCTACCTTTGGGTAACTTCGAATTTGTAACCAAGCTTGGAAAACAAAAAAGAAAAAACAAACACGAACACATGGTGGAGTACCGAAGTGGCCACCCTTTTTGTGTTGAAGGGAAGGCAAATCACAACCCGGCCGAGCCCCTGAGCCCAATCCCAGCCACGCCAAGTGATCAAGCGAGCGCCCAGCACATAGTTCGACACGTAGTTCTACTAACATGGTGAGAAAGGTTTGTATGGCTTTGCTACTCAACTAAGCCTGGGAATAGAATTGCCCAATCGGGGGTTGGGCGCTGCTCAAGTGAACAGGGAAAGTCCCACGGCGGCTACATGTCATATATCCTGTGAGGGGCGTGCGGGCTCTTGGGGAGAGGGGCCCAGAGCAAGACCCGAACACCCCGTTGCCTGCCTAGCAGGGAATCTCGCAACGGGCCTTTACCGAGCACGATCGGGCTCTTGGGACTGACTAGAAGCACATATTCCGGATTTGACTTCAACAAACAACTCTGCTGATGGCCCACATGAAGCAACCATGAGTCGGGCGCAATCCCCATGCAACATGTCGTGCATCACCCGTGTCAACATCAGCAACAAACTCAATCATGAAAGTTGCACATCCCCGCATGCCACCAAAAACCAGACGACAAACAAACCCATGCAAACTCGCCTGGAACCTGAAGACTGTCCTTTTGTAGAGGACTCTCCTTGGATGCCCTTTGGGGTTCTATGTTAATTTGCAGGGGAGTAAACAGGCGCAAGCGATGTCGTCTTAGGACCCGTCCAATGAGCTTTGGCCCGTCTTGGCTAGTTCCGGGCACCTTTTGTGTGATTGTTGGGGGGAACTGGATTCCCCTCTATACATATCTATCTATATGTAGATATACATATATGTATCTATGCAATACATACATACATGCACATCTCTCTATATATATATATACACTTGGCGCCCGCCCTAAGTCAGAGCAGGGGACCGGGAGTCACTGCAGGCACCCCAACCGCGCTTGGGGCGCGCATAAACCGATAGTCACGGCAGGGCGCCGAAAGTCAGAGCACGTGGTGCAAATCCGCATGGTACATCGCGTGTCAAAGTGAAACATTGGAATGTCTGAAGCCTTCACCATACGTTTGATGGTTCACAATGCAGTTTCTGCATGCCCAAAGTCAGAGCACGTGGTGCAAATCCGCATGGCACATCGCATGTCAAAGTGAAACATTGGAATGTCTGAAACCTTCACCATACGTTTGATGGTTCACAATGCAGTTTCTGCACGCCCAAAGTCAGAGCACGTGGTGCAAATCCGCATGGCACATCGCATGTCAAAGTGGTTTGATTGTTCAAAATGCAGTTTCTTATGCCACCAGACCCTTGGAACAAACCCTTAAATATGTGTCACTTATGCTTCTCTACTAGTCATCCCCTTAATGAAAAGACACCCTAGCTCCCAGTCATCAACAAGGTTGTGGAAAATATATCTTGAACATGGCTTTTCAAGCGAGGTCCAGGCGAGGCCCAGGCGAGGCCCAGGCGAGGTCCAGGCGAGGTCCAGGCGAGGTCCAGGTGAGGTCCATAGTTGGCCGGACAAGCCAATGGTCCACATGAACCGAAAACAAGCAAGCAAGCAAGCACGCAAGCAAGCAAGCAAGCAAGCACGCAACCACGCAAGCAAGCAAGCAAGCAAGAGCAAGCAAGCAAGCAAGCAAGCAAGCAAGCAAGCAAGCAAGCAAGCAAGCAAGCAAGCACGCAAGCAAGCAAGCAAGCACGCAAGCAAGCACGCAAGCAAGCAAGCAAGCACGCACGCAAGCAAGCACGCAAGCAAGCAAGCAAGCAAGAGCAAGCAAGAGCAAGCACGAGCAAGCACAAGCAAGCACAAGCAAGCAGAAGCAAGCAGAAGCAAGCACAAGCAAGCAAAAGCAAGCGCGAGCAAGCAAGCAAGCAAGGAAGAGCAAGCAAAACCAACCAAGTGGTCAGAACATGCCTCTACCAGGAGAACGCGTTGGGTAACAAAACTGCATGGGGGCACCCGATCAGGACGACTTCCCCAAAGCAAAGGCAGCGCCAGTTGGGCGGAAACACAACGGGACAGCAATCACATGCTCAGAACAATCCTCTACTGCATCATGTGCTTCGCAACAAAACTGCATGGGGACGCCTGCTCAGGACAACGTCCCCAAAACAAACACACGACAAGGATGGAGCGCAAACACAAGGGCACACCAACAAAATGGTCATAACAGGCCTCGACTCGAAAGTTCGAAAAGCATGCGGGCACGCAGTGAAATCACACTATGATGAAAATATTAAACCAAACCTAACTGCGCAAAAAACATGCAATACATTGGCGGCCCGCAGCCCGCCACGACTTTTGGTCGCCGCCACGACTTAGGGCAACCATTAGTATATCTATGTAATATATGTATATATATATATTATACAGTGTACATATATTATTATATATATATATATATATATATGATTATATGATACACAAGTACAAAATAAATATGTGTAGTGTAGATCTACAAATCCCGTGGTGCACAAATCGCTCCCTCGCCTTGAGACTTCGGATCCCGGCCTCAGGCTCCAGGTCGCCAGGCGGTGCCCATAGGCCAGGTGGGTCACGAAGCCTAACGGAGCGAGCCGCTGACTGGGAGGAAAACCTGGATTTGTTCCCAGGTCCCGGAATTGGTAGGTTTGTTTTTTGGAATTTGTAGGTTTTTTTTGGAATTGGTAGGTGCGGTGTTTTGTGTTTTGTTTTGGGGGGGCTACCAAATGGCTAACATCCAAAGTGTTTCCTGGAATTGGTAGGTGTTTTTTTTTTTACAGTTGTTTTTCTGGGGGGGGGGGTACCAAATGGCTGACATCCAAAGTTGTATTCATCGTTCATATTGTTGTTTCTTCTAAGACTGAACAAGAACAAGGACAGAGCCAAGAAAGGTTGAGGCTCTGGGAAAGGAACGTGGTACACATCTCGATGTCGAGACTTGTTGGCGCGCATGACGGAGGGTACCCCCTGTTGGTTGGTTTTGAAGAGAAACCTATAGGAAAACCAACATTTTGGGGGTTCCCCAAACACATACACACACACAAACCTATAGGAATGCAACTCTGCTTTTGGCATAAAACTCCTAGACTTGGAGACCAAAAAACAGCTGGCAATCAAAACCAAGCGTCGAACTCGTTGAACAAAACATTGGTTGCAACAGCACGCACCAAGTTGGCAAACCGTTTCACCTCGTTCGGCCTTGGCTGCCTTAACCCCCAAGCCAAAAAAATAATACTGTTTTTTTCCAAGCCTTTTCCCGCATGGCCAGAACACAAACCTTGCGGTTCCCCTCCCCTCGGCTCGTTTCCTGGTTTCCTGGTTTCCCTCGCCTACGTCTAAAAAAAAAAAACAAAAAAAAACATAGGACTCTGCGTTTTGAACTCTGCGGCAACCGCCTCAGGAGTTCCGAAGCTGATCGCCGATTTCACTTGCCTTCGAGACCAAGCGGCGACTTAGGAAGTTAGCAACCAGGGTCACCCCGAAGAACTCAGAACAGGTGTTAAATTAGCATATGCCGGTGTAAATGGATCACACGCTATAGTAGATAACCAGCACTACTCACCACGCTCCTTTGCCGACCGCATTCAACCACCGAAAAGCCTGACGCTGGGTCCTCCAGTAGAGAGGTTAGAACAAGTTGGTACCCTTTTTGTTTCTCTCTGGTTTAGTAGGGTTGCCCTCCCAACCAAAAGAGAAACGGGTGAGAGCTCTTCAGCACCAGTCGCTGGACCTACGCCTTACGCCTTGGAATTGCGACCAGGCGCCGCTCATCACCACGAAAACGTCCACCGCCACAAAGGAGCGGCAACTCAGCGTGCCCAGGAAGGTCACTGGGCCGTCGGTGCGGGGCATGTAGTGCCCGCACACAATCCTAGACCCCGTGACCCCGGCGGGGTCAAACCCACGTGGATTGGAATGAAAAGTACCTGGAGTCTCCTTCTGACCCTAAATGCCTGGTGACCCAAAATAAAGGGGCCATGGACCCATTTTTGAAGGGTCATGGAGACTCCAGGTAGAAACTTCTTCCTCTAAAGTGGTATTCCCAACGTTTGGGAACTCGGCAGCGGTGGAGCACATAGCTTGTTTTTTGCTCCTCTGAGCGGTTTAGACACGCAACTGGCGCTTCCCAAGCTTTCCAGGGGAGCCACATTGCTCAAATGTCTCAGCCGAAGCGCTGGTTTGTCATCCTCTTGCTCGGGAACGCACCGAACCATCTAAACCCATGAACTCCTTTGTCTCTAGCTACGACAGAAACTTATTCCCCCAGCTAGGTGCCCTTTCTCACCAACTTTTTTGGTTGGGAGGGTTCCCCTACTAAAATAGACTAATTACAGAAAAAAGGATACACTTATTCTAACCTCTCTACTGGAGGACCTAGGTAAGGCCTTTCGGGCATACCTGGCCAAGATACCGCTTATTTCACCGGAAAGAAGCGGACTCCCCAAGGCAAACCTTCACGGCGAGTGGATTTTACCCCAAGGCCCGTGCTGGGTCCTCCAGAGGTTAGAATAAGGGTACCCTTTCTTCTGTAGCCTGTGGGGCACTACTGGGGGACCTAGTGTGGGAACTTCTCGGGCGAAAATCTGTGCCATCCCAGCATCCACAAGGCCAGCAAGCATCGGATCCCTGTCAGGTGCTCCAACTGCGGCATCGAGAGCAGGCATGAAGGCACATGAGCCCGAGCTGCTCAATTCCTAGGCCCTCCAGTAGAGAGCTTAGAAAAAGGGTACCAACTTTTTGCTGTAGTCGATTTTAGTAGGGGGTTTCCCTCCCAACCAAAAAAGGGGAGAGATGGGCACTACTGGGGGACCTAGTGTTCAATTTGGTGAAGCTCAAGTGGTTGGATCCTGTGGACAGCAAAAAAAATCAATCGCCCAACCTTTTGAGGTGGTCCTCGTGGAAATCATAGCCAATCTCCATGGGACGCCCCCTATTCATCTTGCAGGGATCCTGATTGATCAATTTGCTTCGTGGTTGGCTGGTGGGGGGTTTTCCCGAGCAACATTTCACATGGCAGGACGCTGGCAAAACACATACTGGGTCCTCCAGTAGAGAGGTTAGAATAAGTGTACCTTTTTTCTGTAGTCTATGATAGTAGGGGAACCCTCCCAAACAAAAAAGAAACGGTAAGAAAGGGCACCAATCGCTGGGGGACCCAGAATAAAAACATACCTGCGACAAGCATCAGCAAACTCTAAAACGGGGGCTTCGGGGATCTTCGGGTCTGCCGCTCCGCCACCCATCTTTCCAGGCCCGAAGAAGGAACCCCCTGCAGAACAACATGAATGCTGTTTGAAAGGCCTTCTTTTTCTTTTGGGAGGCCAGGACCTGCCGAGAAAGGCCTTCTGCTTCAGAACCCATCCATTCTGGGCAAATGTCGATATGGGAGACCCAGAGTAAGGCGATTTGGGGTGAGTTCGTTCCCGGCAAAGCTCGCTTTGAGCCCAAAGCTTCGGGCATCGCAGTCGGCATGCTGGTTGCCATGGTTCAGTTGATCGAACTGGTCGGGTCACAGACTTGTGGCTGCGTAACACGCTCCCTGCTCGCCTGCTCGCCTGCTCGCCTGCTCTTTGTTTTGATCCGATGCCGAAGACCGAAGGACACTGGCCAAATTGGTCTCGAAAAACAAAAAACACCATCGCCTTTTTGGCTTGGGTGCTAAATTGGTGTGAAAAACGCAAAAAATAGCCGTCCCCGTTTTGGCTTCTCTTTGGATACACCTTCAAACCAATGGGGCATTCAACATCCACTCAGATGCCCAGTGGCCATGGGACAAAAAGGGGCATCCTTTTTTGGGTGGTTGAACCCTTCCCCAAACAAAAACGGAAAACAACTGGGGCAGAATCGCCTGGGCAACAGAGTCACTTTAACTAGGTCTTCCAGTAGAGCGGTTAGAAGAAGCTGCTACCCGATGTGTTTTTCTGTAGTCTATTTATAAGGGGAACCCTTAGAATAAGTTGGTACCCGATTTTTTTGCTGTGGTCTATTTCAGGGGAACCCTCCCAACCGAACAGGGCTCAAGAAAGGCACTACTGGGAATCCCCGGCGGTTCCGCTGCCCGATGGCCCGCATCTTCTCCTCCTCGATCTTCGCAGCTTCGCCATCCAGGACCTGAGCTCTTGTGGATGCTTGAAATCGAAATCCGTTCTAAGGCACCGATTGGACACCATGGGAATGAAACCACAAGGTTTGTTGGGATTTACAGAAAAATCGAATCAGAAACCAGGGTTTCTTAGGTGCAGGATTTCGTCCATCCACAGTAGGTGTCCTTTTTGGAAAATAGATGGGTTTCCCTGGTGGATGACGGGTTCAAGTGTGGTTGCTTTCTTCTCTTCACAGCGTGTATTTTTGGCCGTTCATTCCAGCACACTGAACCAAACTTGCTTGCCGTTTTTCCCAAGGTCCAGAAGTACCAACTTACTGTCCGAAAAGCCTTTGGAGCGGGGCCTGGTGGGACTTTTTTGATGCTTCGTGGTCTATCTTTGCCTATCTGTGTTGCTTGAGTTGATTGGGGTACTAACCCCGGAAGAACCCCGATCGGTTGATTTTGATCCGGGGGGTGTCCAATTCCTTGTGGTTGGATGAAACGACCACTTTTGGAGGGAACACCCCCCTAATTACTTGAATTTACAGGCAAACCGGGGAGCAAAACGAGAGGAAGCACTGCGCTCGTTCCGATCTCAATCTGGTGCGCACCGAACATGTTCAAGTTCATCGCCAAGGAACCAAACCCGGGGAATCCCAACCTGCTGAAACATGCTTGACTACCACCCTACTGTTGGTCTCGTTTCGACCAGTTTGGGTAGCTTTACGGGTAAAGCCGTCCGTGGGGTTCAGCCGTTGAAACCCCACTCTAAACGAAGGAAGCAAAGACGGAACATGAGCACTGGAACCTATTGAGCGTGGGACTATGACAACCAGGACTATCTGACAACGAGCCGCTATCTGACCACTCGGAATGTGTATGTATATATATATATATATTATGTGGCTCGACTTAAATTGGGGAAATACGACGTAACATGGAGAAAATATGACGTAAAATGGGGGGGGTAGATATATTTCCCAAAAACAAGGAAGACATGACCGAAATGTTGCTCCCGGATGCAACTCCATCTCTACCCGGAAAGAGCCCCGCCTTTTCGCCCTTCTTTCTTCTGGTTGCCACCACCACGGCTCGCCCCCCGGCCCCCGTCCCCCCAGTTCCCTCCCCACCCCGCCCCCCCACACCCCCCTCCTTCCCCCCACACCCCCCTCCTTCCCCCCACCCCCCCCCCTCCTTCCCCCCACCCCCCCCCCGCCTCCACGAGCATGTCCACAGTGCCGCTGAAGGCGCCGATCTTCTCCGCGAAGCCCTGGCACTCGGCCTCCAGCTGCCTCGGAGCTCCGATCCGAGGGGCCCAATGCGCAAGCGCGGGTTCGAGACTTCGTGGACCGTGGCTCGCAAAATGGTGACCCCCCAAGATGGTCCAGACATGTGCAGACCGTCTTTTCCCCACCAAACTGATTTCCCCAAAGGCATAACGTCCACAAAATGGGAAAGGGAGTTGATCAAGAACATCCGCCGAAGTGTAAATGTGGCGAAACTCATTGCTCCGAAGCTCACTGCTCTGGTCGTGTCCAAGAGGCAACCAGTGGATTCCATCAATGTTCAACCCAACTGTTCTAAGGCCAATGGTTGCCTCAAATTTTCTCTGCCTTCCACGCAGATACGAATCACTTGTTCTAGCGGGTTGCTGCCATTCAACCCACAGGGTAGAAGCTTAGTCAGGGAACACAGAGAAAACCAAACCTAGGCCCTCCAGTAGATCTATTGTAGTAGGGGAACCCTCCCAACCAACAAAGAAACGGTGAGAGGTCGGGCACCAATCGCTGGGGGACCTAGAAACCAACTTTCCACCCCGAGTTTACAACACGGAGCAACCTATTCTGCTTAGCGACTCTGTCTGCTTGAGCTTCTCCTTGGGCATGACGCGGATGCGATTGTCCTGCGAGAAAAATGGAACCCGGACACCTGGACCTGGGTATTCCCATGTGCTTGGTTGCCGCTGTTGACCCGAGCCTCGGCAACAGGTTGTTTTCACGTTTTGGGGGTCCAGTTCGGACATCCGAGCTGTTGCAACCGAAAAGATCCGTTGCCCAAATGGCCATGAAGATTGGGCATGGGCGACCAATTAGTGGGCATCTGCCTTTCTATTTTGCTTGTTTTTATATATATATATATATATGGGTGTGGCTCAAAATTCAGGAGCTAGGGTTACGCGGGCTTTAGTCTTTGGTTCCATTTACCAAGGCGGCCATTTTAGTACCGATTTTTTGAGCCACGGCCATATGGTTTATTTGCCGGGGGCAGTGATGTCCACTCACAGTTTTGTTGAGGGTCTTCTCCACCAAACATGATGCCCATGGTGCGGATCTGCACCGGACAAATCAAGCACTTGGGTATTTGTTTTTGGTACATAAGCAAGTTCCCAAGGCGTATTCCCGCGCCGAACCTGGTCTGGATTGATCTTTCAGGCCTCAGTTGCCTTTTTCTCATTGCCTAAATGCAGCTTGCGAGAAGGGATTCGGACAGAGCAATGCGCAATGCAAAGGTGGCTGCTGTTGACCCCTCTGCAAGAATTGCTTAACTTTTTGTGGGTTCAATGGACAACCCAATGATCTCCCAAAAGTTGAAATCTACTGATTCAACCCAATAGCAACCAAGCAGAGGTGGTCCTAGACCATGTCGTCATGGATGCTCTGATCCCCTATGCACCTGTAAAAGGTTCATGACAGCTGCTCTTGCACTCCCGACCCCAACGCCGTTCAGCCCGAAGGACGACACTTGAGCTTCCTTGACCAAACTTTGCTAACATGGCGTGTCAAGCAAACTCCTTGCTGCTATCTAAAAAGTAAGGACCAGGCGACAAACCTAGGTCCTCCAGTAGAGAGGTTAGAATAGGGGCAACCTTTTTCTGTAGTCTATTTTAGTAGGGGAAGCCTCCCATACAAAAAAGAAACGGTGAGAAAGGGCACTGCTGGGGGACCTAGTATCTAAAAAGAAAGGAGCAGGAGACAAACTACAGGGGACGTTGAGAAACACCCATGCGGCTGCAGCATCCAAAACAAAAAATTGTTTCGAGTTTCGAGGCCACCCAGACAGTGTTTGGGTGTCTTCCAAGCCAGGGTCCAGCCAAAAATGGGAAGCCACTGGGCTTCCTGCCTATGGCTGGAATTTCCAAGGTTCATGACAATCCCTAGCAAGGCCTGGTAAAAGGGATGGTGCGACCTTGGCACCACCGATGTCCTCATCGAAGGTGATGTCAAGATGAAGCTCCGCCATGGCTTCGATCGCAGTACGTCTTGCTCACGAGAGTCAGCGGCTGGGAAGCTTCAGCGATCTGGGGCCGAAAAGGGCCATTTGGTGTATAGAGGTACCCTCCCGCTCATCTGGAGTGTTCCCCTTTGGTGGAAGATGGTCTTCCATACTGTATGGGGTAAGAGTTCCTTTGCGGGAAAGCGTCTGACGACCCCCCACGTGTATTCAAAGACACACCGCAGAACCCAACTTTCAAGGGCCCCCAAGAACACCCACTTCAGCCTCTACAGCCCATTGGGCCAAACGGTGGCTGTGACCCCTCTGTTGGTCTAGGTGTTGACTACCCAAAAACCAGTTCGTGGGAAACCGGAAGCCCAAACTGCAACATGGGTGGCTGCCATGGAGTGGACAACAACCTGGCACCTACCAAGTGTTGCAGGATTTTGCCCAGCAGTATTTGGGCTTATCTTAGGGTTGTTTGAGGTTGCTTGCAGGTTCCTCTAGGCTTCTCTGGGGTGTGGTTTAGCGGTAGCCCCTTGAATCTGTCTATAAACGCTTTGCCGGGGTGTTGTTTAAGCTTCGAAAGTAGACCGGGAGGTCCCGCAGGAAACTCATCTTCCAACACCTTCCCACCGTCAGCTTCCAAGATTGGAGGAAAGATAACCTTACAGAGTAGCATTTCCCTCGACCATTTAACCATGATGATGGCCAACAAAATCTGGCCAAGCTCTTCTCTGGATCAGCAGCACCCAAAACACAACGACTTTTCTTTCTCCCCTTGCCATATTGTATTCCCCGTGGACCTGGCCCAAAAAAGAAGAAGCCCCCCCGGTTTTCGGGCGCTCAAAACAATTCCGCGAAACGCCGGCCATGGCACTCTCGCCGTCGCTCGCCCCCCGGCCCGGCTCCGGCCGCTCGACCGCCGCGGCCGGCCATCGGCCGGCTCGTCTCGTTGGGCGAGCGGTGCTTTTCTCCACGGCAGAAGCTCTCATTGACCAAAGCTTTGATCACTGTGCCGGCCAGTCCCTTCAGTCCTCGCAGCCTCTGCATCCGCTCCGAGAATCGCTTTCTTTTTCAGCGACCCGAGAAACAACTTCCCAGTGACGAATTTGGGTGGTCCCCCCCGTGTTGAACCGCGTAGAGCAACGGTTGACCAACACATATTTTGTCAGCTCATATGAGTGCAAGCCGCTTTTGATTGATCAAACGCTGACAGCATGGTCCTATGGGTGACCCTTGCGGATGATGGATCTGCCATATCGTGTGTACAGTGCGCGGCCACTCAAAAGGCAAGCGAACAAATAATTGCCATTGGGGGCAACTCTGGTGTGCAAATTGCAGAGCAAATCCAATACTTAAAATAAGCGCTCCACAAGTAAAGGACCTATGGTGAGCTCGTGTTACCTACAGCTAAGCTTGCCAGAAAATAGGCAACAATAATTGTCCGCATCAACGCTCAATAGCACTTGAATATGGCCCAATACTGGCAACACTGTCCGTGCAAATGTTGATTTACAGAGCCCGCTTGCAGGGACAGAAGCCCATCACTGGAGAATCACCGCTAGAACATTTCTGGACTCGCAAGGAGCGAGTACTTTGCCATCGTAGTGCTGGTTCCCTAAACAATGCAAGTAGAAAACTCAGACAACCATGAGTTCATGGAATCAGGAAAACCATGCGAATCAGTTTGGGCCATAGTGTGTTCAAATGCAATACAAGGATCCAAGCATACGCTCATTGGTATACATTAACAAGTAAAGGATTGCATAGACACATCTATCTGTATGCATATCTATACATATGTACAGTGAACTAGTATATACATATATCGCATATATAGCACATGATATGTGTACAGGCATGTTTACACACATACATACATACATACATACATACATACATACATACGTACGTACGTACGTACATACATACATACATACATACACACATACATACATACATACATACATACATACATACATACATACATACATACATACATACATACATACATACATACATACATACATACATACATACATACATACATACATACATACATACATACATACATACATACATACATACATACATACATACATACATACATACATACATACATACATACATACATACATACATACATACATACACATACATACATACATACATACATACATACATACATACATACATACATACATACATACATACATACATACATACATACATACATACATACATACATACATACATACATACATACATACATACATACATACATACATACATACATACATACATACATACATACATACATACATACATACATACATACATACATACATACATACATACATACATACATACATACATACATACATACATACATACATACATACATACATACATACATACATACATACATACATACATACATACATACATACATACATACATACATACATACATACATACATACATACATACATACATACATACATACATACATACATACATACATACATACATACATACATACATACATACATACATACATACATACATACATACATACATACATACATACATACATACATACATACATACATACATACATTACATACATACATACATACATACATACATTACATACATTACATTACATTACATTACATTACATTACATTACATTACATTACATTACACTACATTACATTACATTGCATTACATACATACATACATTACATACATACATACATACATACATACATATATATGGGGGTTGTCCTATATTCCTTTGCCCGCGATTGGGCCCTTGGGCCGTGCTTGCGCGGCACTTGCGCGTACTTGCGCGCGCACAGCGGCGCAGAAACTCGTTTTCGTTGACCTCGGTTTGCGAAGTTTTCGTGCGGATTGCGCACAAGCTTTTCTAAGCAGTGTGTTTGTCGTTCACACAGCAACCCACAAAGACTTTTCCCGCTGAGGTCGCTCCCGGCAATTCAATGCCATCAACATACCCTTGACCCAACAGAAAGAACAGCAGGCTCTGCCACACAGCTTGGACACAGCCTGAAAGAAAGAAAGTGCATGTTGCGGGTGCCTATCCATTGCTTGAACCGCGCCGCTAGGGACATCCGAGACAGCATGGCTAGATGTCTTGCTGGGGCTTCTCGTGCTTGCGCGCAACTTGCGCGCGGCTTGCGCGCGGCTTGCGCGGATTTTGTCGTGTCAATTGCTGATTGTTGAAGTCATGACCGCAGAAGCTTTGGGCTTTGGCTTCGTTTGGCGTCTGACTGATTCGAAAGGCACAAGTACAGCAAGAAAATATCACCTCCTTTCCTGAAGCTAGGCAACATCAGTACATGAAACCCTTCAAAACTGTAACCTTGCGCGTCCCTTGGGCCGCACTTGCGCGCTCCTTGCGCGCGCACAGCTTTTGACAACTTTTACTTCTCCCTGTTCGGCGATGATTAAAACCGAAGACTGGGGTTTTAGGACGGCCCTCATATATATATATATATATATATATATATACATACCCTCTACATAGATACTCAATAATTTCATGTCTGGGGTCTCAGCAGGAGCTTGCAAGAACTGACCCCAAAGGACTGAGCCGCACTGTGCCCAATGCACTGCGCTCAGTGCCGTTGACTTCGCCGCCTACCCGTGACTCGCCTCGCTCGAACTGTCGAACTGACAGGTGACGGGTGAGATGTGGGCGTCAGCGCCGTTTGATCTGCTGAACCATAGGTGTCCTTTTAGGTTGGAAATAGATGGGTTTCCCTGGTAGATGAGAATAAACCACCAGGCAAACCAGGAATCGAAACCCACCTATTTTTCTATCAAAACAACCAAAAAGGACACCTATGTGCTTAACTTTTGGTACTTGGATGGTGCGGGAGTGAGCTGAAGAGTAAGCCTGGTTGTAACCCACCAAAGCAATGGTTGTAAGTCTCCTGAAACTAGGGTTGCTAACCATTTAGAGATTCGTCCTAGACTACAAGTAGGTTTAATGAACACCCCCAGTAAGCCCTAAAAAATCAACACCCCAAGGGGATGCCTGGGAACCAGCAAGTTGTGTATGACCTTTTCCAGTGCGCCAATGCCTGATGAATGGTGGCAAATGGGTGTCACAGGCAGACGATTTGCCCAGGCGACCCAATCTCCAGAGAGACACACGGGTCGATTACGAGGGCGCAACTTGCCAGGTGACCATCTCCGATTCCAAAAAAATGCAATGTTGGCAATGCAGATCAACTAGGTCCTCCAGTAGAGCGGTTAGAATAAGGGTACCCTTTTTTGTGTAGTCTATTTCAGTAGGAAAACCCTCCCAACCAAAAAAGAAACGGTGAGAAAGGGCACCCATCTGGGGGACCTAGCGCCAGCTTGGCCACCGCCAACTGCCCGCCGAGAGCTTTGGCCCGGTTTTCGAAAGTCCCCGAAGGCAGTCTCTGTAACCCGCGGCTCGATCTGCATCCATGGCACTGCTCTCTTTTCTATAACAGGACGCCGCAGGTCGAAGTACCATCGTGCAACCTGCTAGGCTACGCGGCAAAAAAAACACACGGAACTGAGAAAAAACAAAACAAAGCGCAAAAAACATGGGGAAAAAAACACCAAGCATAAATTACTCTGCGGGTCGAGTTCGGGAGAAGGACACCAAGCAATCACTCACGTAAACGGTGAACTTAGACAATGCGCACCATTATTTGCGGGGCTGACTATTGAGATAAAATCGGGCCGTGCCGTGCCTTCCCCTTTTTTTCGGCATCCCGAACCCTACCGCAGGCAAAGCACCTGCTGTTGAAAGGCCGCAGGCGGACCTCTAAGATTCATTCACAGGCACGGCCTGAAAGGTCGCGCTTGCGTTGATTCATCCGGCCTCGCGAGACGCGGCACGTGGAAGGGCCTCTGCCACTGGGAATTGCTCCGATTGGGGGAGGGGTCCAACAGCCCTCGACTCTGCTTCTCTACTTCTCACATAAAGGCATTTGGAGAAAGGTCATGTGGAGAAACTTACGCATGACTCATCCAATGCTGGTGAGTCCCTTGGCGAGTCTGATCGCACGCTTTCCGCACCTTGAAGGAATGGTGAACTCACGGCCCTTGGTTTGTTTCCATCTTTCTAGGGGTTAATTCCCCATTCTATCGTTTTTTTCCAAACACCGGCCGTATCCCGGCCGTTTTCAACCTGGATTTCCGGAGGTTTTCTAAGATCCGGATCCCTGGGTTCAGAATGGAAATGGAAGGTAGCCCTCGAATCTTCCACCCCTCAGGTGGGGCGGTTTGGACAGCACTTGGGTTTTGATGGACCGGCCGTCGGGCGTACCGGCACCTCAGATCTTGGACTAAATCGATACCCAAGGTGCAAAAGCAAACTCAGGAACAACGATAAAACACCAAACACTAAACACCAAACACCAAAAAGCTAAAAGGCTAAGGGGATGGCTGCGAGCCACCAAGATAATATTGTTAAGCTAGGCTAAGCGAATTTTATTTGCTAATCACTGCTTAATCATAGAGCAATATTGCTAGTTGCTCCTATATCTCTGCCTAATGCTTCAAACCTCTGAATCGCCTTTGACACAGGCAACCGCCACAGCCCGCTCGCCGCTTCCCCCCAGGGACCCCGCGTACGTGGATCGCTCGCGTCATGGATCGCTCGGCTTTTGGGCGGGTGCCTGTCAGGTCAAGAAAAAGCCACCTGCGGTGCTTCTGGAGTTTGAATCTTGAGCTTCCTTCTTGGCCGAACAAAATCAACTTGTGGCTTGCCAAGTTTTCTTGGCCCTTGCTTCAAGGACAGTTCAGTCCAATCAGTTCTTGAGGCAGCTCTGAAAAGATCCGAGAACTTGCAAAACCAAAGACTGGAATCTATTCCGATGGCTGGGGCTTCAACCACATTCCCTACCTATCAAGACAAGGCCTCAATTCATGTCAGGCTAACCGCAGAGAGATCTCGGCCAACCATCTGCCGACCGTAGGTTTCTTCTTTAAAAGAAGCCACACCTTGCCAATTGTTTGTCTATATACGCACTCCTTGTTTGAAAAGCCACGCCTTCGCCTTTGTGTATTCATAGTGCTCAACCACTCTTTGCAAAGTGTGATTAAACGCTGCAACTACGTCTGTTTCAAAACTGGTACGAGCAAGAATACACCTGCCTGCACCTGCTACCGACAGTATTCTGAGGTTTGCACTTACAACACGCTTGGCGAAGAAACCGTCTGAACGCCCCTAGGAGTCCCTATGTCGGAGCACCCCGGTTTCTGGCAATACAAATGTCTATGTGTATATATATATATGTGGTATCTCCTGGAATTAATGTTGTGCCAAGAAGAATCCCATCCTTTCCAGATTCTGTTGATTTTTTTCACAGATCAACAAGTTTTTTTTTTTGGGGGGGGGGGGGTAGCATATATATATATATATATATATATTTATAACATACAGCCAACGCATGTATGCCTGGATTCTACGTACAGAAATCAAACGACGAACATCAGATGGCATTGGGCCAAAATAATGTCCTAAACTGTTGAGACCCAACTGAACAAACCAATAGCACCTCATGCTGTAATACCTGTACATACAAGCAAAAACTATATCATATCGTGAATGCATCTATGTGTTTACGTGCCTACGTGCCTATGTTCCTATGAGTCGACAAGTCGATGTATCTATGCATCTATGCATCTATGCATGCACATATCTAAATATCTACATATCTATGTGAATATGTGTCGGTGTGTCGATGTATGCATATATGCATATGTACGTGTAAATCTAGATGTACTGGTACATGTATATGTATGTGCACATGAGGATCTTTATGTGTGTACGTGCATGTATGTGTATGTGCCCGTATGTACGTGTCCATGTGCAGTTGTATGTGTGTATCTGTATCTGGATCTGTATGTATATGTGTATGTGCATCTGTATGTGTATGTGCATCTGTATATGTATGCGCCTGCAATGCGTATGGGCATGTGTACGTGTATGTGTATATACGCCTATGTAGATGCTGTGCGTATATGTATACCTGTATGTGTATACATATCTGTATATATATGCTGTGTGAAAGTGCTTGTACAAAGTATGTATATGTATGCTATGCATATATACATATGTATATGCATGTATATCCACTTACATGTATGTAGATGTATGTATGTGTATGGATGGATGGGTATGGATATGTATGTATATGCATACATACGTATGTATATTCATTCATGTGTACACTTGTATACATATGCTAAACACTTCCGAGGAAACTGATTTACATTGCATTCGTGGTCCATGTCTGCTTTAGAAAGCACAGGCGCATGTTTTGATAAGGGTACAGCCAAACCAAAGTGACGGAACCTGTTTTAGGGGGGGAAAGGAATACACACGCTGAAGCATGCACCTGTGCGAAACAACCCTTCCCTTTGGACACAGAACCATCAACCCAATGTGGAAACCACCAACTGTCGTTTTCCTTACCCCTTAAAACTCCAAGCCCCGGGGAAGTTAATCTTTTACAGACATATAGCCCATGTTACCCCCAAAAAGTTGAAAAGTTGTGTTTTTTAAGAGGTAAGTTTCCTTTGGGGGGCCCACGAACATCTACCAAACAAAAATCTCGTACATTCAGCCCCGCCCCCCAAAGCCCCAGCCCCGGGCTCCTTCTCCTCATAGGGCACCTGAGGCAAGCGGCTCGCTTGTGGCCTTTGGGCTTCCACATGGATTTGTCGAACCCCCAGGATCCAATCCATCCCATCTAAGCTATAGGCGAGGTTTGGTTTCTTAACCTCATTGCTTGACGTCTGGAACCCGATGGATTTGAGAGGGCCAAAAGCCAGGGAAAAAGGAACAAAGAGGTTTGGGATCAAATCAATGCTGCCCTTCCCTGCAGTCGAGGATCGCGCATGCTTTTGATCGGCCGATGAGTTGGGCAATACACTCATTCAACCTGCCTCGCAGCCCCCATCCTGGCTGGATTCTACTACCCAAACCGCTAGGTTGAAAGAAAACGATACACCATATAGCCTACCACCGCTGTATGCCCAACAGGTAAGGGGTAGCCAACTTTCACTTCAAGACTTGGGAGTGGTTGGGGGTGGAAATCCTCTTAGCCCCATGCGCAAGCAGGCAAAGAAATCTATGACAAAGTCGGATCAGTCTGCGAGGCGTTGGACAGCTATGTTGCGTCCCCAAAGTGAAACTTGTAAGAGGTTTCTCAGAATTACCCTTGGGGCGGAATCCTTTTCAACCACAAAGCGGAGTATTTTTCAGGATGTCACTTTAATGAAGTCAGTAGTGTGCAGTGCTGCTATGAGGTTTTTCTCGAAGAAACCGCGAGAAGACATGTTGTAAACAGGTGGCCAGCGCAGTCGAGAACACACAAACACAAACACACACACACACCCTAACACAAACACGATCGTATAGGCATGGTTGTAATACGAAGAGCATTCATGTGTTGTATACCCGCATACACATTGCGTATATAAATATACATAGTTATATTCACATTCCCATTGGTAACAAGGAACGTTGAATCTCGGCGGCCTTTCGAGAGGTGTGCATTTATATTATATACCTCGAGGTGGTTGTTGTGTTTACATGTCTTGTGTTTTTCTTGGAAGAACATTCATTTGTCTAAGCAAACATAGTTCCAACAGTCATAAATTCCAATATTGTAAAACCAGCAAGGGGAAATAAAACCAGCATTCTTAAGCAAAGGGATGAGAGACATATACCTCGAGGTGGCTGTTGTGTTTACATGTATTGTGCTTGTCTTAGAAGAACTTTCATCTGTCTAAGCAAACATATTTCCAATAGTCATAGATTCCCTTTAAAACCATCAAGGGGAAATAAAACCAGCATTCTTAAGCAAATCGATGACAAACATATACCTCCAAGTGGTTGTTGTGTTTACATGTCTTGTGCTTTCCTTAGATTAACTTTCATTTGTCTAAGCAAACACATTTCCAGTAGTGATAGATTCGAATATTTTAAAACCAGCAAGGGGAAATGAAACCATATTCTTAAGCAAATGGATGAAAACCGTATACCTCGAGGTGGCTGTTGTGTTTACATGTCTTGTGCTTGTCTTAGAAGAACTTTCATCTGTCTAAGCAAACATATTTCCAATAGTCATAGATTCCCTTTAAAACCATCAAGGGGAAATAAAACCAGCATTCTTAAGCAAATCGATGACAAACATATACCTCCAAGTGGTTGTTGTGTTTACATGTCTTGTGCTTTCCTTAGATTAACTTTCATTTGTCTAAGCAAACACATTTCCAGTAGTGATAGATTCGAATATTTTAAAACCAGCAAGGGGAAATGAAACCATATTCTTAAGCAAATGGATGAAAACCGTATACCTCGAGGTGGCTGTTGTGTTTACATGTCTTGTGCTTTTCTTAGAAGAACTTTCACTATTTCTAATAGTGCTAGATTCCCTTTAAAACCAGCAAAGAAAATAACGCATGGTTTTGAGCAAATGGATAAGAAACATATACCTCGAGGTGGTTGTTGTGTTTGCATGTCTTGTGTTTTTCTTAGAAGAACATTCATTATTTCCAATAGTCTAAGCAAATGGATGAGAACCGTATACCTCCAGGTGGTTGTTGTACCATATTCTTAAGCAAATGGATGAGAACCGTATACCTCGAGGTGGTTGTTGTGTTTACATGTCTAGTGCTTTTCTTGGAAGAAATTTCATCTGTCTAAGCAAACATATTTCCAATAGTCATAGATTCCCTTTAAAACCAGCAAGGGGAAATGAAACCAGCATTCTTAAGCAAATGGATGAGAACCGTATACCTCCAGGTGGTTGTTGTGTTTACATGTCTTGTGTGTTTCTTAGAAGAACTTTCATTACTTCCAATAGTGGTAGATTCCCCTTAAAACCAGCAAGGGGAAATGAAACCAGCATTCTTAAGCAAATGGATGAGAACCGTATACCTCCAGGTGGTTGTTGTGTTTACATGTCTTGTGTTTTTCTTGGAAGAACTTTCATTTGTCTAAGCAAACATATTTCCAATAGTCATAGATTCCCGTTAAAACCAGCAAGGGAAAATAGAACCAGCATTCTTAAGAAAATGGATGAGAAACATATACCTCCAGGTGGTTGTTGTGTTTACATGTCTTGTGTTTTTCTTAGAATAACTTTCATTTGTCTAAGCAAACATATTTCCAATAGTGATACATTCCAATATTGTAAAACCAGCAAGGGGAAATAAAACCGGTTGTTGTGTTTACATGTCTTGTGTTTTTCTTGGAAGAACTTTCATCTGTCTAAGCAATCATATTTCCAATAGTCATAGATTCCCTTTAAAACCAGCAAGGGACAATAAAAAAAGCATTCTTAAGAAAATGGATGAGAAACATATACCTCCAGGTGGTTGTTGTGTTTACATGTGCTGTGTTTTTCTTAGCAGAACTGTCATTTGTCTAAGCAAGCATATTTCCAATAGTCATAGATTCCCGTTAAAACCAGCAAGGGAACATAAAACCAGCATTCTTAAGCAAATGGATGAGAAACATATACCTCCAGGTGGTTGTTGTGTTTACATGTCTTGTGCTTTTCTTAGAAGAACTTTCATCTGTCTAAGCAATCATATTTCCAATAGTCATAGATTCCCGTTAAAACCATCAAGGGAAAATAAAATCAGCATTCTTAAGAAAATGGATGAGAAACATATACCTTGAGGTGGTTGTCGTGTTTACATGTGCTGTGTTTTCTTGGCAGAACTTTCATTTGTCTAAGCAAGCATATCTCCAATAGTCATAAATTCCAATATTGTAAAACCAGCAAGGGGAAGTAACACCAGCATTCTTAAGCAAATGGATGATAAACATATTCCTCCAGGTGGTTGTTGTGTTTACATGTCTTGTGCTTTTCTTAGAAAACCTTTCATCTGTCTAAGCAATCATATTTCCAATAGTCATAGATTCCCTTTAAAACCAGCAAGGGGAAATGAAACCAGCATTCTTAAGCAAATGGATGAGAACCGTATACCTCCAGGTGGTTGTTGTGTTTACATGTGTTGTGTTTTTTCTTAGCAGAAGTTTCATTTGTCTAAGCAAACATATTTCCAATAGTCATAGATTCCAATATTGTAAAACCAGCAAGGGGAAATAAAACCAGCATTCTTCAGCAAATGGATGAGACACATATACCTCCAGGTGGTTGTTGTGTTTACATGTCTTGTGATTTTTGCTTATTTTTTCACATATTTTTAAGGAAATGGAGAACGATATGCGCAGGCTTACATCCGGGGCCCCGCACAAACTCGTTGGCATCCGCTCGGAGCTGTGGGATCGGGAATTGCAGGTCCTCCTGGTCGCAGTGGATGACAGCTCCCCCCCCACCCCCCACCCCCCGGCCGCCCCCCCGGCCCGAGTGTTTGAAGAGAAAAAACCACGCAGCTCAAGGTGGGTGTTTGAAGAAAAAAACACGCAGCTCAATCTGGGTCCTTTAAGACACATTCAAACAACAGATGCCTGAAGACGACGTTTTTTCTTTTGTTCCTTGGGTCCTATGGGTCGGTGAGGGTAGGTTGTGTGTTCAGTTGGGTGTCCCCAAAGGCCCAGGCCCCAAAGCCCCAAACGCCCAAACGCCCAAACCCCGAGTCCAAAAGTTCAAGAAAAACCACGCAGCTCAAAGTGAATCCTTAAAGAGATCTCGCGCAGATTCAAGCAGCTTGAGCCAGAAGCATTCCTTGTTTTTTGCCTTTTGGGTCCTCTGGTACCAGACAGCCCATCCGCACATGTCGAGGGGATTCGAGGGGTGAATAGCCCACGGGACACACGAATCACGGGCTTGACTCATCCGGAAAGCCTGTACCCGCAGGCTTGTGGCTCCACATGAGCAAGCCCATCCGTAGTCTCCAATAATCATGGCATCCCGGCTTGGCAGATCTGGAAGATGGCCTTCCAAATCAGCAAACTCGTTTCTTCAAACGGTCTTTTCCTGTGAGTCGGGGGTCCATCTCACGGGAACAGCCCTGAGTACGCAACACCTCCATGGGGCTTTGGTTTCAACTCGTTTTGCGAGATCGCAATAATTTGTGAGTCAGTGGATGGACGAAATCCATTTCGCACCACCTAAGAAACCCGGGTTTTTGATGATTCCCCTGTAAATGTCAACAAGCACTGGCTTCCAATCTGGTGCAGGATTCCGTCCATCCACCGCAAGACTCCGAACCGCCCCACCCGTTGCTCCTCAAGACCCTGAAGCGGCCATATATGAGGCGGGGTTGGAATCCGACAAATGAACCCTGAGGCGACAAAAACGGAGTTTCTGGCCGGGTGGACGGATTGCACCAGGTTGCAACATCTATTGAAACAACCAGCTCCTGGTCCCTTGCAAGCGAAACCAAACGGAGGTTCTTGAAATAAATGGCGCTTGAAACCACCATTTCAATTCAACCCTCAAGCGGATCCCCCGATCTTTTTGCTGCCCAAGGCCATTTTCACAAGTTTCTTGTAATGTGGGGGGTTTGATCAAAAGGTCCTTTACATGGGACGACCATTGCGGAAACCACGAAAAGATGATATGTGGGGGCCTTTAGATCCACTTCCATGGTGTTTCTGGTTTCAGATCAAACGGCCCCATGTCTTTAAACCCGTTCCTAGGTCCTCCAGTAGAGAGGTTAGAATGAGTTGGTACCAACTTTTTTCTGTAGTCTATTTTAGTAAGGGACCCCTCCCAACCACGAAAGGTTGGAGAGAAAGCCCTCCCAACCAAAAAAAGGAAAAAACGTGAGAGGTCGGGCACCCAGCTGGATGGGAAACGGACCTCGCTTCGCATCTCCTGGGCGGCCGGGAGCGGGATGTTGCCCCGAGCGATGGTGAGCTTCAGGAGCTGCTTCTCCCTGCACTCCTGGCGAGTTTTCTCTTTTTCTTTTTTCCCGCCTAGGAAACGGCCTCCAGATTTGTTGAGCAGATAGAACAAGTTGTTACCCGTTTTTGTTTTTCCCCCGTTTTTTGTTTGGTAGGGGAACCCTCCCAACCAAAAAAGGGTAAAAAGGGTTCCCACTTTTTAGGGTAAAGGGGTGTCCTTGTAGGGTAAATAGATGGGTTTCCCTGGTAGATGATTAAACCACCAGGTAAACCAGGAATCGCCATCTATTTTTCTATGTGATTCGGGCACGAGCCTGTGCCCAGGCAATGGGTAAGTTGGGGTAAACAAGCCACAAAAGAAAGGTTCCCCAAAAGCAAACCAATCCCCGGTCCCAAAGATCAGGGTTTCCCACACACCAGAGAACAACAACCAAAAGGGAAAAACCAAAACAAGTAAACAAGTACCCGCAACCTTGATCGACGATGAACCGCACGGGCGGACCCCACCAATCTGCCCCGGGCCGATGTCTCTTTCTCCACCGACACGAAGGTGATCGACGCGGGGACCCGGCGACGCTCATCCGAGGCGCGACGGACCCGCAAACTTGAGCCAAAACACCACAGGTCGGTCACTACCGCGACGTCCCTGATGATGATATTAACCATGGCTAATCACACCCCCCTCACGAGGAGCCCGTCATATGACGGGTGGAGCGTGCCATTTACTGATAGGATTTAACTGCTCGCATGTGTCCGCAAACAGCTGAACACTACCGCCGTCAGCGGTGGAGCAAACCCACAAAGGCAGTTGCGCGACATCCCGGGCATTAAATTCCCGCCACCACCCCGAATTAATCGGGGTAACGCTGTCCAACATACCTTGTGGAAAGGTCCACATGACGACACTAGGTCGCAACTGTTTGCATCCAACAATGCAAGAAGTTTAATTCTTATCAGAAGCCATGAAATAAAAGATAACGTATGTCCATTAGTACCCTCGCCTATCGGCAAGAGGTACTCCTGACCATGCGTACCTGAAAAATGCTTGAATTCCGCAAACCCGGGAGTAACCCCCCATCAGTTTGCTTTCCCTCTCACTCACACTGCTTCCTGATGAACACGTCCAGCAGCCCAGCAGCGGTATGGGAGAGACATGATCTCCGCGCCTCAGCGGTTCGGGAGGAACATCACCACCTCCGCACCGCGCCGACCATTGGAGAATGGACGCAAGCCTATCGGCCGCAATCCTCGTGACTCAGCCTATCGGCTATCGTCACGTCTCCTCCGGTCACGTCCGCCCCGCGCACGGTCCCTATCACGATCCCTTTCGGATCTCCTGCGATCATCTCGCCTTCGATCTCGCTCCCGATCGAGTGAATCATCATCACGACGATCACGAGCATCGTCCCTCCTCCGGTCGCGATCATCCTCGCGCCGCGGACGGTATCTGCGCCTTCTCGACTCTCTGGAATCCCTGGTGTCCACGGTCCTAACGGACCTCCGAGAAGGAGTGCGGGAAACGTCCGATTCCCTACGCCTCCTCCCAGAGCGAGAGTTCGTCACGATCTGGTTGAGAGCCTCCAGTGCTGACGCGTCCTCACCATTTCTGATGAAATCCCTGACTTGCTTGTTCAGCACTCTGTTGGTGGAGACTGACAAGAGAGCGTCCACCACCGAACTCTCAGGCAGCACCAGGAAGTGACCCTCCACCGGGCTCGCCGCAGCTCGCTCAGCCGACTGCAACCTGATCTCACCGCCTTCAGGCTTCTTTGCCATTGCCTTGGAGGCCGTCAGAGGCGCTACCGCGTCCTTTGCCGAAGACCTACCAAGCGCAGAGTGAAGATCATCCCCACTAGCCTCTCTTGCTGCCGCACCTGGTCTGCTGTCAACGTCATCAGGCCTCGTCGATGCCTCTCGCTTCGTCGACTCCTTCACAGTCTCGTCAGGATCCCAACGGGACTTCCTTTCTCTCTTCTGCCCTTCAGCCGACCCCCGGCTACCGCCAGGAGCGTCATCTCCGCCTATCTTCTCCTTCTTGACCTCAACCTTCGGTTCGGCCTGCTTTGTCTCCTTAGCTTCAGCCTTCGGAGCCGGAGCATTCTTCGCCTCAGATACTGAAGCGGCCTTCCCTTTTGGCTCGGCCTTTGGAACCGGGGTCATTTTAGCCTTCGCACTCGGCCGGGCTCCTTGAACCACCATCTCGACCCAAGTCTTCTTCGGTTGAGCCACAGTTGCATCAACCTCCATCGGAGCCGGCCCAGCATCGGCCTTTGCTTTTGCCTGTGAGACAGATGGACTATCGCCCTTACCAGACCCTTTTCCTGGCACTTCACCTGACTTTGGTGGTGGGCCGGAAGGACTACCGCCCTTACCGCCCTTTTCCCCCTTCTTCCCTTTTCCTTTTCCGCCCTTGACGATCGGCTCCTGCTTAGGACCAGGACCCTGCGCAGCATGATGCACCGATTGAAGCCCTTCAATGTTCACGTTCAATGGCTCCGGTTGACGACCATCAAGAACCGTCCTCACCCTTTCGTCACTAACGTAGACGAATGGGTCGCGGAAGGGGGCGGGAGGCTCCGACTGCCCGGCACTGATTGCCTTCTGCACCTTGGCTATCGCCTCCTTCAGTCTCTTCTTCTCATCGTACCCTGTCTCTGATACCATGTACTTCCTGAGATCCGATATCAACGCATGGCTGGCCAGGATGTCCACGTCCTTCCGATGGGTCGGATATAATGGAGTCAGATGCCCCGCCGCGGAGCCAATCACGTACGCCATCGGGATATAGAAGGACAAGTACGTGTCATGGCGAGCGAACTTCCTAACGGAAGTCGTCATCCGCCTACCCCACTGAGCAGCATGCCTCGGGTTAGCTCGGAAGTACTCAGTGACCGACTCAAATCTATCGACTTGGTTGGTCATAATCAGGTGCTTCGCCACCCACTTCTCCACGAATGCATCCGAGGCCGAAATCCCCGACACATAGGAGAATTGGAAGAGCACCTTCGCCAGCTCATCCCACGCCGTATCGACTCCTCCCTTGTCCTCACCAAGATAAGGGGGCAGTCTGATGCCGCTCTGCACCGTCATCCTCAGGTCAGACGCCATCGAATAGGAAATCAAATTCCTCTTGATGACTCCGACCACTTCGGATGGGATCCTCTTGGGCTTGAACTGTCCCATGCTCCTCACCCACTCCGGGACGATGCGGCACCTCTCGAAGTCACTTTCGTCCGCATTGGGGATGAAGTTCGGGTAGAAGACCGGGAGCGCACACCCAGGGCACAAATGCATCCCATTTGGCGTCATCTCCGCGCACCTCAAACAGAACGTGGTGGTCACATTCAACCTGACCTCTTCACGCGATCGCCTGTGCTCTCCCCTAACAGGGGTAAGGTCGCCATAGTCCCATGCCCGATGATACACTATCGTGTAATCATCGTACATGTACGCTGCCTTCCAAGCGCCCATGTGGATCTCGTTCCGAACGGCAAGGGTCTTTCTCCTCGTCAGAAACACGGGTCCAACCAATGACCAGTGCACCCGAAGGTCCACGATTACCACCACGTACCTTCCCGGGTAGTTCCGCAGCCTGTCCCTGACGTACCACGATGGCGATACCTCGGCATTCGGCGCCATGGTTCCCACAAGCGGGATCAGGCCTTCATCCTGCCTTCCATCCCCAATGGTCTCGTACACATCGGGCCTCGTGATCAATATCTCGATCATGGCCTTTCCGTTTCGCCTCACCTTCTGGAGCTGAACCGCCTTCCTAAAGTCCGAGAACTTCATGACGACGTACCCCACCATAGGGAGTTCATTCCAGTGCATCTCGTACATCAGTCAGAGATCCGCCAGGTGCATCTTCTTGGGTGTACCTTTGCCTAACGGCACTGTAGCTCATGTCACGTCCGATCCGCGTGTACCTAACGGCCACTAACCTAGTGCTCTCCTTGAGGAGGACACCATTCCCATCGTACATGACCATGAGCATCGCCTCAACTTGCCCTATCGGGAAAGCTTTGATCGTCGGAATGAAGAACTTCCACGACATCTCGGCGTTCTCCATGCCCGTGATCTCCCTCAGGAACCAGATGGCCTGGTCACTATTCACCCAGTTTCCAGCCTCACGTCCAGTTTCCTTCAGCACACGTTCCTCGAATAACTCCGAGACTCTCTTCGAGTTGATGACCAGACCTTCAAAATCGCACGAGAGCAGTCTCATCAACTCCTTAGCCGCCTCCCGCCCTGCAACGGTGCCCGCGGTTTCCTCGTAGTTCGGGACGTACTCGCCCAACCTTGTCTTCGAGGGAATCACAATCTGGCATGTAGCGGCCTCATCAGGGATAACCCCAGTACCCCTTAGATCTGGATTGATTTCCCGCCTATCGGCAAGATAATCCTTCCTTCCGTCCAGGACCACAAGATTGTAGGTCATCTTGCTTGCCGCCTCACTCGGTCGGAACCTCCTGCTTTCATCCACCTGATCAGGAGCAAAGGGTCCACTGGGGGCAGCTGCACTTACCATTGGCGCTCCTCGCCCAGAGCATAGGTGCTTCTTGTGAAAGTTCACCATCTCATTCAGCTGCGACAGGGCATAAGCTCGATCCTCCAATGACGCACTCTTCATCCCAGCCTCAGTCAGAGGAGCCTCAGGCTTGTCATAACTCGCCTTTCCGCCCCATCTCGCCGCGACCAGCTCAGCAGACTTTGCAGGATCAATCAGATTGCCCGACCATTCAGGCATGTCGCTCAACCTCCTAGTCAACGCGTCTATCGACGCAGCCAAGTCTTCATCCGTCACGGTGTGAGGGTCGACCTTCTCCCTGTCTTCCTGACCCACGTCAGGGAGCCTAAAGTCCCCGCGGATGGCCTCCATCGCGGCCTTCTCGGCTTCCTCAGCCTCCTTTTGCGTGGCCACTGCTCTAGGAATCAGGAGCGCTGCCTCAGCTGGCAACGATTTCTCCATGTCAATCGGAGTGTTCTTGGGAAGGATCCTTCGATCATCTCCCTCCCCGCTGTACACATAGTCTGGAGCAG